TATGTTCGTATGTTCTTCTTGTGTTCTTATACTGCTGGCTGGCTGTCATACATACTGCTGGCTGGCTGTCATACATACTGCTGGCTGGGTGTCATACATGCTGCTGGATGGGTGTCATACATACTGCTGGCTGGGTGTCATACATACTGCTGGCTGGGTGTCATATATACTGCTGGCTGGGTGTCATATATACTGCAGGCTGGGTGCCATATATACTGCTGGCTGGGTGTCATACTGCTGGCTGGGTGTCATACATACTGCTGGCTGGGTGTCATACATACTGCTGGCTGGGTGTCATACAAAGTGCTGGCTGGGTGTCATACATACTTCTGGCTGCGTGTCATACATACTTCTGGCTGGGTGTCATACATACTGCTGGCTGGGTGTCATACATACTGTTGGCTGGGTGTCATACATACTGTTGGCTGGGTGTCATACATACTGTTGGCTGGGTGTCATACATATTGCTGGCTGGGTGTCATACATACTGGTGTTCATGACTGGTGTTCAGCTTCCTGTCATCAGACTGCTGTTCATGACTGGATGTAAGCTGCAGGAAACACCACACTGTATGAATAATGGCAGTATGAAGAACGTGTTTACATAACATCCGAACATACGGGATTTAAGACTCTCCGTCTCATTTGAAAATCGTATGATTATATTTTCCTGTCGTAAGATGAGAGTAAGTAAGTAAGTAAGCAAGTAAGTAAGTAAGTAAGTAAGTAAGTTCATTCCGGTGTACACAATTACATAGAATATTATACATAGCAGCTTATGTGCACAGAATCTAGGATAACCCAGAAAAGTCAGACGAAGTGACTTATTTCCACTGGGGTCCTTAATATTTCCACTGGGGTCCTTGATGTTTTCACTGGGTCCTTGATATTTCCACTGGGGTCATTGATATTTTCACATGGGCCCTTGATATGTCCACTGGGGTTCTTGATATTTCCATTGCGGTTCTTAATATTTCCACTGGAGTCCTTGATATTTCCACTGGGGTCCTTGATATTTCTTATGTGGTCCTTGATATTTCCACTGGGGTCCTTGATATTTCCACTGGGTCCTTGATATTTCCACTGGGGTCCTATATATTTCCACTGGGTCCTTGATATTTCCATTGGGGTCCTTAATATTTCCACTGGGGTCCTTGATATTTCTACTGGGTCCTTGATATTTGCACTGGGGTCCTTGATATTTCCATTGGAGTCCTTGATATTTCCATTGGTGGTCTGTAGTTCTTTAATATATCTCTGTTTATATCTACCATACTTCTCAGATAAAATAAACTAACCTGCTCTGAAAGCCTCCTGGATATAATTAGAAAGTCGATGTTCCTGTCTGAGAAAGTTGCGAGTTTATTTAACCGATTAAGAGGCAGTCAAGTGGGTCACTGCTCTCCTCTGCTGCCATTATACAATTATGGCCTCTCGTCCCAGGTTCTGTGATTACTGAAGTGGAGTTTCTACCCGGTAATGTATGAGTAGATGGAGACACCTCCGGGGGTTAGATGACCCATATGTGTTAGAAGATGAAGACACGTGTGGGTCGTCTACCCCCGGTGGTGAGAAAGCGTCGCACCTGTGGCAGTCTTGATGACTTGCACCAGGGAAAAATGGGATTCTTATTTTTTATGTTGTCACTGAACACGGTCTCGGCCAGTTATCCACACAATCTTGGCCGGTTATTAACACAGTTTTGTGAGTTATCCACACAATTTCCACTGCACAACCTGGCAGGGAACGTTCACCTCGAGGTATGACCTTTATGGGTTTAGCGATTTCCCCTAACTATAATATTGTGCCGTTCCAGACTGCAGTATGGTACCAGATCTACTCAGCCAGCTCTTCCCGGCTGCGCTTGATAAACACTGTTAATCACCTAGGAATACAACTCTTGAGTGCATTCCGCATTTCACCTATGGGGAGCCTTTCTGAAGTCTATTGACCTTCCATTGGATCTCCGCCGGGAGGAGTCCGACCTATTTGAAGTTTAGTGTACTACAGCTTAGGCTGTGGTCTTTGCGGAAGGAGAAACAGAGGGGTCTTTATCCTTGTTGTGGAAGGCTGCCTGTGATGGTTGGCGTTCGTATGCGGTGTCCCTCTACTGGACTATGGCCTCGATGTGTCCGTGGTCGGAGATGTTGGCTTCTCTCCCTACCCTCCGTGGATGGTGTCTGGAGTTCATCTTTGTAGCCAATGGATAGGAATCTCTAAACGCTGAGCCTCGGTGATGACCTTGGCTGATTTCCTGGAGCATGATCCAGTTCATATTTAAAGGATCAAGGTGTTTATGCTGGATCAAAGAGCGAGGGTGGTGTTAACTTTGCTGTGACTCCTGGTGAGGACTCCTACTGTGCACTGCTTCAAGAGCGCCATCTGTCTTCACTACGGTGTTCCATGCAATCCTCGCTACTCTTATCCTGATACCTGGCTTAGTTGGTTCTCGGTTCACTCTGTACTCAAATTCTTAGTGCACTCTTATCTACCATGGTCTGGTGTTCTTCTGGCCACACTGTGCTCCAAAAGATCTAGGACTGGTTCACTCTTCTTCATGTGTGGCACAAACATGAGATGTTCTGTTGGTGCCCTGGCCACAGTGGTGCCCTGGCCATGATGGTGCCCTGGTCATGTTAGTGCCCTGGCCATGATGGTGCCCTGGCTATGTTGGTGCCCTGGCCATGCTGGTGCCCTGACTATGTTGGTGCCCTGGCCATGCTGGTGCCCTGGCCATATTGGTGTCCTGGCCATGTTGGTGCCCTGGCCATGCTGGTGCCCTGGCCATGTTGGTGTCTTGGCCATGTTGGTTCCCTGGCCATATTGATGCCCTGGGAATTGAACGGCCAGATACAGAGGAAAAGTCTGCTTCAGTAAGCCTGACTAATTTACTAGACCATATCCACAGATATGTTCTTGTGAAGTGGTGGGTCCAGTGGGCCCTACAAACTGGCAACATGTTATTCAAGGTCTGGCAGGACACGAATGTTTGATCCTCCTTCAGCAGGAATCCTCACTTTGAGTCTACTCTCTGTCAACAAAGAATCAGGCAACACATCTCACCCATAGCCACCGATTTACCTTTTTTGCATATCTCGTGATAAACCGTAGACTGTGTTTCACATCTGAAGTCTGGCTTAAGCTTTCATACCGTCGTCATGGGTTTCATAATTGCTGGGGTGCCTGCAGGGACCTCAGGGTGCCTGCAGGGACCTCGGGGTGCCTGCAGGGACCTCCGGGTGCCTGCAGGGACCTCGGGGAGCCTGCAGGGACCTCGGGGTGCCTGCAGGGACCTCGGGGTGCCTGCAGGGACCTCGGGGTGCCTGCAGGGACCTCAGGGAGCCTGCAGGGACCTCGGGGTGCCTGCAGGGACCTCGCGGTGCCTGCTGGGACCTCGGGGTGCCTGCAGGGACCTCGGGGTGCCTGCAGGGACCTCAGGGAGCCTGCAGGGACCTCGGGGTGCCTGCAGGGACCTCAGGGAGCCTGCAGGGACCTCGGGGTGCCTGCAGGGACCTCGGGGAACCTTCTAATGCTCTTTTTAAACTTGGTCTGATTATATGATGATCACTTTGTGTATATTAACAACTGCTCTTGTTTTATTTTTATTGTATAAAGTGATTAACATAGTGCTCTGACAACAACAACAACAACAACAACAACAACTACTACTACTACTACTACTACTACTACTACTACTACTACTACTACTACTACTACTACTACTACTACTACTACTACCGGTGGCCTGGTGGCTAAAGCTCCCGCTTCACACACGGAGGGCCCGGGTTCGATTCCCGGCGGGTGGAAACATTTCGACACGTTTCCTTACACCTGTTGTCATGTTCACCTAGCAGCAAATAGGTACCTGGGTGTTAGTCGACTGGTGTGGGTCGCATCCTGGGGGACAAGATTAAGGACCCCAATGGAAATAAGTTAGACAGTCCTCGATGACGCACTGACTTTCTTGGGTTATCCTGGGTGGCTAACCCTCCGGGGTTAAAAATCCGAACGAAATCTTATCTTATCTTATCTTATCTCTACTACTACTACTACTACTACCACTACTAATACTACTACTACTGCATATGAAAATGTCTTACTTACCGACAAGTTGATAAGTAAGGCACATGTGTAACAGTCAGGTATCTTTATTCCGAAACGTGTCGCCTACACAGCAGACTTCTTCAGTCGAGTACAGAGGAGGCAACAGAAGCAGTAGAGATGTAAAGACGATGTAATCATTCCATCACCCTCGAAGACGTGGTTTGAGGGTGTCAGTCCCTCAGCCTGGCTGAGGGACTGACACCCTCAAACCACGTCTTTAACTGTCTTCAGTATCAAGTGGAAAGTTATTTAAATAATTCTCGTGATATTTTATAGAACGTTTTTATATTGATATAATGTTTCCAGTAAGTGTACACTTGTACCAGGTATACAGCTAGTACTGATATAATGTTTCAAGTAAGTGTACACTTGTACCAGGTATACAGCTAGTACTGATATAATGTTTCCAGTAAGTGTACACTTGTACCAGGTATACAGCTAGTACTGATATAATGTTTCCAGTAAGTGTACACTTGCACCAGGTATACAGCTAGTACTGATATAATGTTTCCAGTAAGTGTACACTTGCACCAGGTATACAGCTAGTACTGATATAATGTTTCCAGTAAGCGCACACTTACAGGTTTATACATATACACCTGTAAGTGCATATGTATACAGCTAGTATACATATACACTTACAGGTGAATATTTCTCACTGGGTGTTTACAAAATTCCCTATTAAAGTAATATTTTAGACCTGTGGTGAGCAGGTGCCAAGCAGTCTTAAATGGTCCTCGTGTAATGGATAGGTTTTAAACCCTATTAATTAACCAACCAATCATTCAGTAGTGATATTATTTTATAATCAAAACTAAGCGCTAAACGCACAAGGGTCATGTAGCACTGTCAGCAGTGGTAGAATATATTTAACGTAGATACGTTGCTCTTCGTCAGGTTTCCAACGCAGTTCAGGACTTCGGGAACGGCATGTCGACGTCCATAGCTAATAAGTTCAGCAACGGCCTTCAGAGTGTGCCTACTGCCGTGGGTGCTGGCGTGGCTGCCATCATACCACTGAATGACCAGACTAACCCACAGAAGCCACTCTTCCCATCCCCGCCTGCCATAAGTGTACCAGCATTGCCTACCATACCCAAGCCAGCACTGCCGTCTCTGGGTTCTCTCTTCACTAAAGCCACTGGCTTGAACGTGGGAGGTACTGGTACAGCAAGCGTTTCCGTCGCCAGACCAGGACAGACACCCACCAAGTCTACTATAGTTGTCAGCGCTAATAAACCTTAGGTAAGACCAGAGAACACAGTCAGACTCCATTATGGGTCACAAACACCTGTCTCACTCACAGAAAACGCTGACGTAGTCATCGAAGTTTTTGATAAGCGAATTATTATTAAGCAAAAATACTTTACCAACGTAACTTTACTAAATATTGTGTAATATAAAATATCTTAATTTATCTTGTCTTAAGAATTTGCTTCCTATTTCTCGACGTTTTTCTTCGGTAAAGTGAGAGGGAGGTTCAGGGCAAATATATAATGATCAATGTTTATTTTCATAATGTCTTTTAATGATATTTGTATCTGGTTTAAAAATGCAGCAGATTTACATATAGGAGAGTGTAGTACCGATTCTTGGTGTTGCACTGTGTACACAGTGGTACACTTGACACCAGCAACACATGATACAACACTTGACACCAGCAACACAAGTTATGATACAACGTCTCCACCTCTGCCAGTATGCCAGGATCATAACACACACACACACACACACACACACACACACACACACACACACACACACACACACACACACACACACACACACACAGACACACACACACACACACGCACACACACACACACACACACACACACACGCACACACACACACACACACACAGACACACACACACACACACACACACACACACACAGACACACACACACACACACACACACACACACACACACACACACACACGCACACACACACAACGACAACATGAAAATGACATAGCAGAGAAAGCCAAATCTGACCCGAAACTGTTATACAGCCACATCAGGAGGAAAACAACAGTCAAGGACCAGGTAATCAGGCTAAGGAAGGAAGGAGGAGAGACAACAAGAAATGACCGTGAAGTATGTGAGGAACTCAACAAGAGATTCAAAGTGTTCACAGAGGAGACAGAAGGGGCTCCAGAAAGACGGAGAGGTGGGGCACACCACCAAGTGCTGGACACAGTGCACACAACCGAGGAAGAAGTGAAGAGGCTTCTGAGTGAGCTAGATACCTCAAAGGCAATGGGGCCAGATAACATCTCCCCATGGGTATTGAGAGAGGGAGCAGAGGCGCTATGTGTGCCCCTAACAACAATATTCAATACATCTATCGAAACAGGGAGATTACCTGAGGCATGGAAGACAGCAAATGTAGTCCCAATCTTTAAAAAAGGAGACAGACATGAAGCATTAAACTATAGACCACTGTCACTGACATGTATAGTATGCAAAGTCATGGAGAAGATTATCAGGAGAAGAGTGGTGGAACACCTAGAAAGGAATGATCTCATCAACAGCAGCCAACATGGTTTCAGGGACGGGAAATCCTGTGTCACAAACCTACTGGAGTTCTATGACATGGTGACAGCAGTAAGACAAGAGAGAGAGGGGTGGGTGGATTGCATTTTCTTGGACTGTAAGAAGGCGTTTGACACAGTTCCACACAAGAGATTAGTGCAAAAACTGGAGGACTAAGCAGGGATAACAGGGAAGGCACTACAATGGATCAGGGAATACTTGTCAGGAAGACAGCAGTGAGTCATGGTACGTGGCGAGGTGTCAGAGTGGGCACCTGTGACTAGCGGGGTCCCATAGGGGTCACTCCTAGGACAAGTGCTGTTTCTGGTATTTGTGAACGACATGACGGAAAGAATAGACTCTGAGGTGTCCCTGTTTGCAGATGACGTGAAGTTGATGAGAAGAATTCATTCGATCGAAGACCAGGCAGAACTACAAAGGGATCTGGACAGGCTGCAGACCTGGTCCAGCAATTGGCTCCTGGAGTTCAACCCCACCAAGTGCAAAGTCATGAAGATTGGGGAAGGGCAAAGAAGACTGCAGACAGAGTACAGTGTAGGGGGCAAGAGACTACAAACCTCACTCAAGGAAAAAGATCTTGGGGTGAGTATAACTCCAGGCACATCTCCTGAAGCGCAAACCAACCAAATAACTGCTGCAGCATATGGGCGCCTAGCAAACCTCAGAACAGCATTCCAACATCTTAATAAGGAATCGTTCAGGACCCTGTACACCGTGTACGTTAGGCCCATATTGGAGTATGCGGCACCAGTTTGGAACCCACACCTAGCCAAGCACGTAAAGAAACTAGAGAAAGTGCAAAGGTTTGCAACAAGACTAGTTCCAGAGCTAAGAGGTATGTCCTACGAGGAGAGGTTAAGGGAAATCAACCTGACGACACTGGAGGACAGGAGAGATAGGGGGGACATGATAACGACATACAAAATACTGAGAGGAATTGACAAGGTGGACAAAGACAGGATGTTCCAGAGATGAGACACAGCAACAAGGGGACACAGTTGGAAGTTGAAGACACAGATGAATCACAAGGATGTTAGGAAATATTTCTTCAGCCACAGAGTAGTCAGGAAGTGGAATAGTTTGGGAAGCGATGTAGTAGAGGCAGGATCCATACATAGCTTTAAGCAGAGGTATGGTAAAGCTCACAGTTCATGGAGAGTGACCTAGTAGCAACCAGTGAAGAGACGGGGCCAGGAACTTGGACTCGACCCTTGCAACCTCAACTAGGTGAGTACAACTAGGTGAGTACACACACACACACACACACACACACACACACACACACACACACACACACACACACACACACCAACAAGTGTTGGATGATATACAAACAATGGAGGAGGAGGTAAAGAAGCTGCTAAGTGACCTTGATACCTCAAAGGCGATGGGACCGGACATCTCCCCATGGGTCCTTAGAGGAGGAGGAGCAGAAACGCTGTTCATGCCACTAACCACAATCTTCAATACATCCCTTGAAACTGGGCAACTACCTGAGGTATGGAAGACAACAAATGTAGTACCCATTTCTAAGGAAGGAGACAAACGAGGCACTAAACTACAGACCAGTGTCTCTGACGTGTATAGTATGCAAAGTCGTAGAAAAGATTATCAGGAGGAGAGTGGTGGAGCACCTGGAACAGAACAAGATTATAAATGATTACCCGCATGGATTCATGGATTCTGGAGTTTTATGACACGGTAACAGAAATAAGACATGAGAGAGAGAGGTGGGTTAATTGCATTTTCCTGGACAGCAGGAAGGCCTTCGACACAGCTCCTCACAAGAGATTAGTGCAGAAGCTGAAGGATCAGGTATGTATAATAGGAAGGGCACTGCAATGGATCAGGTAATACCTGACAGGGGGTAACAATGAGTCATGGTACGTGAAGAGGTATCACAGTGGGCGCCTGTGACGAGTGGGGTCCCACAGGGGTCAGTCCTAGGACCAGTGCTATTTCTGATATATGTGAATGACATGATGGAAGGGATAGACTCTGAAGTGTCCCTGTTCGCAGATGATGTGAAGTTAATGAGAGGAATTAAATCAGATGAGGATCCGGCAGGACTACAAAGAGACCTGGGCAGGCTGGACACCTGGTCCAGCAACTGGCTTCTCGAATTCCACTCTGCCAAATGCAAAGTCATGAAGTCTGGGGATGGGCAAAGAAGACTGCAGACAGAGTATAGGTTAGGTGGACAAAGACTGCAAACCTCACTCAAGAAGAAAGATCTTGGGGTGACCATAACACCGAGCACATCTCCAGAAGCACACATCAACCAAATAACTGCTGCAGCATATGGGCACCTGGCAATCCTGAGAATAGCATTCCGATGCCTTAGTAAGGAATCGTTCAAGAAACCGTACACTGTGTACGTCAGGCCCAGACTGGAGTATGGGCCTGACACACACACACACACACACACACATAAACACACAAACACACACACACGTAGTGGAGGCGGGAACCATACATAGTTTTAATGCGAGGTATGATAAAGCTCATGGGGCAGGGAGAGAGAGGACCTAGTAGCAACCAGCGAAGAGGCGGGGCCAGGAGCTATGAATCGACCCCTGCAACCACAAATAGGTGAGTACAAATAGGTGAGTACACATACATGCACACATACACACACACATGCACACACACACACACACACACACACACACACACACACACACACACACACACACACACAGAGGCTCTAACAGACAACTGCCGTATCCAGGAACAGCTAAACACAGGGACACTGGATAGGGAAGAGACAGAAGGAAGGAACACTTGAACGGCGGGAACTAATTCGCCCCAGAGGATGCTCAGGGAAGTACAGTGGGAGGACGAAAGGGAGAGGGCAGTTTTTGTCTATGGGCTCCAGAAAGTTAAAGGGGAAACTTACGAAGCAAGAAAACAGAATTAAAAAAAAAAAAAAGATTGAAAGCATCATGAAAGCAATAGGAGAGGACGACATGACCCAGATGACAAATTTTCACAGAATTGGGTGGTTTGCGAGAGGAAAAAAAGCGTCCAGTCAAAGTGATCTTCAAAGCAGCGTCAGCTGGAAACTGGATCCTGCAGGAGACAGCACGTCTAAGGGACAAACCGGAGTACCGGAGTGTGTACCTCGACCTAGACAGAACATAAAACGAGAAGAAGATACTGAAAGAGAGGGTGCAACATCGCAAGGAGGAATGGGAGGCAAAGAAGGAGGGGAGCGGGAGAAACCAGACCCAGGTGCAAGAAGGGCAAACACAACCTACTCCAGGACCATGCACAGAAGGGATGCAACCATGGCAACCTCAATGCAACCAAACAACCAAATTCAAAACCCACACACTGTACCCTCTGCTCCCATCCCTCTCACCATAAACCCCACCCCCACAGTAACTCACAGTAACCCACACACTGTACCCTCTGCCCCCATGCCCCTTATCATAAACCCCATTCCCACAGTAACCCACACACTGTACCCTCTGCCCCACCCCCCACACCACAAACCCCATCCTCCACACGACAAACTCCACCCCACAGGCCCCTGCCAGGGCACCTGTTCCCCCATTCTCCTCGGACCACAGTTTTAGAAAAGAAGTTGAAGGTTTGATACACGAACGCAGATGGAATAAGGAATAACTGTGAGGAGTGGCATGAGGAAGGGTTGCACTGCTCATTAAAAACCGATGGGGA